AATATTATATTAAAAAAATGTTTCGTAACATTTTTTTTTTGATATTTCAATAATAACGTTGCGAAAACATTTTTTTCATAATGTTATATTAAAAAAAAAAAAGTTTTGTACCGTTTTTTTTCAATACTTAATCAGGTTTCAGGTCAGGTCAGGTCAAACAGACAACCTGATATAACCTGACCTGACCTGACCTGAAAAAAAATTTCAGGTCAGGTTTATCAATTAACCTGACTTGACCTGACCCATTCGGAGCTCTAAACATTGACTTTCTTTTTCTAAAAAAAATGGTTTATCTTAAATATCATATACCGATATCAGTACTATATTACAATCTTATACTTACAACTTACATGTATTTTACATTTTTTTTGTGTTTAAAGAGAAGTTGGACCATTTTGATTCTGAAGAATTTAAAATAAATTTTTATTTTTAATGTCAAAATTTATAATGGCAAGGTCATTTTTAAAAAGGTACCCTCGCGCGTTTCAATGTAAGGTCACTTTTAAAAAGGTTCCCTCGCGCGTTTCAATGTGAGGTAACTTTTTAAAGAAAAGGTTCCCTCGCGCGTTTCAATGCGAGGTAACTTTTAAAAAGGTTCCCTTGCGCGGGTTAACGTGAGGTAACTTTTAAAAAGGTTTCCTCACACGTTTCAATGTGAGGTAACTTTTAAAGGAAAGGTTCCCTCGCACGTTTCAATGCGAGGTAACTTTTTAAAGAAAAGGTTCCTTCGCACGTTTCAATGCGAGGTAACTTTTAAAAAGGTTCCCTCGCGCTGGTCAACGTGAGGTCACTTTTAAAGGTTCTATTGTGGGTCAATGCGAGGTCATTTTTAAAAGTAATTTCTGTGCATATTTGTTTAAAAGACAGATTCATTAATGAAGACATATTGAAAAATAACAAGTATTTAAAATTTTATGGAGTGAACGGATGAGGTATTTGAAAGGAAAAATTTGAACGTATCATACAAAAATAAATCCATATAAATAAAATGTGATAAAAAAAACTTGTACTTATATCTGATAAAAAAAAGTACAAGGTTGTACTTTGTTTTTACAAAGAAAAAAGGACAAGGTTTGTACTTTTTTATTAAAATCCACATTCTGTAATACATACAATATTATGTATCACAGTCAAAGTACAGCCTTGTACTTTTTTATCAGATATAGGTATTACGTTAATTTTAATAGTATTTTGTGAAAAAAGAAAACGTAAGTTAATATGTTTAACTTTGGTATAAAGAAGTTAAAATCAATTATATTAACGTTAATTATTGACTTATTTAAAGAATCTCGCATAATAAATTAAACTACAGTGCAGAACCTCTATAATAGAAACTTAAAAAAATTTAAATAAAATTTGATTCTATGATTGAATTTTAATTTTATAAAAAGAATTGAATTCTATTTGTTAAAAGGAATTGATTTAAAAATTAAAAAAAAAGTCTCAATTTTTAGATTATGTAAGCATCACGTGATACATATATTAGCCAATCAGAAATTAAGATTTTATTAATTATATGATATAAAAATTTATATAATATATTTGTTTATTATATTTCATTATAAACTGATAAATCAGGTATATGATAATGAGATTTATATTTTATTATGTGCATTTTTTAACCAAATTAAAGTAAAATTACTTTAGTTTTTGAATTCTTTTGTGTATAAATTTATCATCTAAACTGTCTTTTAAATATCATTATTTATAACATTAAATTGACCTATATTTAAACAATTTTGTTTATTAATTTTTTTTTTTTTTGCAATATTAGAACTTTTTTTTCTTCTTAGCATATTGAAAAAAAATCTGAAGTATAATAACAATTAATATTATATTAAATGTTGCTAAAAAAGATCTGTAATGCAAAAATTAGACTAGTCTCAATTTTAACTAAATTTGGTCAGTATAATTAAATTACAGATTTTTAAACAGCTAAAACTTAGCCAAAATTTTATTTAGAAAAAAAATAACTGATAATTTTTAAAGCTAATGATCATATCTATAAAAACTATCAGTTAAATTTTTTACTTTAATATAAAAAAATTTTTTTTTTAGAAATTTATAATTAATCAATTGTTACTATACATAAGTAGAAGTTCTGCACTATAGTATAATTTTTCATTCCAAAACTCCCTTCTTATTTCTAATACATTTTTTAATAAAATCATTTTTTATAATTTTTATATATTCATTCCAATCTATTTCACATTTTATTTATTCTAATGTTAAATTATTATAAATGTTTGAAAGAAATTTGGAATCAATCTGATTACAACGATTTTTTCAAAAACAATTGTGTTTTTGACTACAAAATCACTTTTTTGAAATTCATACATGCACCAAAAATTATTTGCATTGCATAATTCATGAATTATTCAAAATATTCTAAGAAATTTTTCAAATATTTTAACTTCATTGTTACAAGTATTTGAAGTATAATAGTTAATTTTTCCAAATTCCAATAAGTTTTTTTTTACAAAAGAATAAAAGCTTCAATTGTGTGGTAATTATTATAAATTCCATCTATGTTGGGAATTTTATATTGATATGTGATGTAAAATGCACGCATTCTTTCTGGGCCGAAATTATGATAACCTTAGCCTAAAAAAGGTAATAATAATTCAGTAAGAATTATTACTAAAGGAAAGGTCTGAAACAATTATGCGCAAACCTGCTTGGAACCGTTCTGCCAGAACTCCAGAGTGAAAAATTTATATTTGCGATTTCATTAGGCAATGATCACGTGGCGGACAAAGTATATTTTCGATGTTAATTATAAGAAATAAAATTCTTTAAACTTGCTTTAGACAGGTTCTTAACTTTCTATAGCAATAGGAAGCCAAAAATCCATCCAAAACAGTTGTTCATAAAAAACTCAAATTAAGGGAAACTTTATAATCGACTGAGAAATTAGAATATCAAAAGCCACACAATATCAATAAGCCTGTTCATAAATTAAGAGAATATTTATAATCGACTGAGAAATTAGAATATCAAAGCCACACAATTATGTGGCTATGATCAATATCAATAAACCTGTTCATAAACTAAGAAAATATTTATAATCGACTAAGAAATTAGAATATCAAAGCTTAAACAATTATGTGGCTATGATCCATTTTCAAAAAGCCTAGTGATATGAAAATTAAAAATATAATACTTTTATTTTAAGATCAATAATTTGTTTATATTGAGTATAAAATTTTATTTTATGTAGTAATAAACAAAAATAATCTTAAACCTAACTAATAAAATATAAGATTTTTAAATATTTTAAAATAATTAACGTTAAATGAATGATGATAAGACTTTTCAAAAAGTGATCCGAAAATTATTTCTTGTATTACATTACTTAGAGAAATGTTATTTTTATAAGCATTAGATAAATCATTTGAATTCAAAATACGACGGAATATTCCACAATGATCTAAAAATAATAAATATCCTTAACGTTAAATAATAAACGGGTTTATTTATTTATTAAAAAAATTACTGCGTACAACTAAAGTTAACATTATTACTATTTATCTGAGTAATGGTAATGCTTATATTATGAATTACATTCAAGTGATGAGGTTGGTTAAGTATTAACGGTACAGTAATGTTGAATGCACGATAGTTAGTTTGACTTCAAATATTAATATTGATAGATTAAATATACCTTACTTTCTAGTTTAGAAAATATTTTCTTGATCGTTTTCTTTTCAGATAATTTATCATTATCATTATTGTTATCGTTATTGCTACTTCCATAGATTTCGTTTACAATAAAATATACAATTTTATCGTTCACAAATTTCTTACATATTTTACTGTAATCATTTAACTTTTGATCAAAGAAACGAGATAATCTTTTAATCAATATTTCATCTTCAAAAAATTCATAATCTTTATTTTGGCAAAATCTCCTTATTATGTCATCCTGCAATTCGTTACAAATTTCGTCAAATTTCTTTCCTTTTAAATCAGGAAATTTATTAGATACGTATATCTTCGCTAAAAATCCACTTGCAAAAACACGTAAATGCTGCAATTGTTCATCATTGTTTTTACAATCCAAACAATATTTTCTAGTTTCAGAGTATTTACCGAAAATAAACTTTACTTGCAAGTTATTACTCTCTTCTAAGCACAAATTCTAAATATGTAAAAAATTTATAAGTAAATGCATTATTTTAAATTATTAAAATCTATATTGTAAATAAACAAACCCAAGTAAGAAAAAGATGATCCATATCGATATATTTTAATCATTTAAAAACTAAAGTAATTAGCTGAAATTTTATAATGTTTTCAGCATTGCATTATTCCCAGATAAGAGAACTATTAATTTCCTATTATAACGATAATACGAGTTTCATAAAGTTACACATGAATCTGAAGGTCCATTCAATCCTAAAATAGAAGGAATTGAAGTTCAAAGGTAACTAACATAATGCATTTGTTCTTTGTTTAGTTTATTATAAATAGCAAAATGTAATTTATGATCCGTTTTAGATCAGTGAGCTAAATAGACTTATATTGATGCCGGTTTGATAAAATAAATAAATTGTGATTGTTACACTTATTTAATTAAATAATATTGTGTATGTGTACTTTTATTAAAAAGTATTATAAATGAAAATCGATTTTAACCGAAAGAAATTTTTATTAGGCAATCGATCGAGAGAAAGTGTGCATGTCATCATTTAAGAGAAAATATTTAAATTTTAAGCTGCGCTTAAATATGAGCAATTTATTGAATTTCTGAAAATTCAAAAAGGCAGAGACAGTGTCGCACACTATATAATTCAGTTTTAAAAAAATTAGTTTAAAACTTAACCATAAATGATCATTTTCATAAACAAATACAGCAAAATTAAATTGTTCGTTTTGGTTTACATTTTTATGTTTTGCGATAATATTGCGTTATTAAATATTAATGATATTCTATAATAATTACGTATACCAAATCAATATTTAAATGTTTATTATTGCCATTATGTAATATTACGTAAATTACAATTATATAAATTATTTTTATATATGTTATGAATATGCTTGTTTTGTTAATCAAATTAAACAAAATGACCAGTATTTTAAAAACCTGATATTATTTTTAATTAGATGATTGATAATTATTGATACAATTTCCAACTTATACGTAAATGAGTAATTGTTTTATTTTTGAAAATTGGGAAAAATAATGAATACAATATTTTGAAAGCAATATAACAAAAGTATCAAAAATTGGGCGTGGGAGAAAAACAAATAAATAGTTAAAGTAGTGTCCAATTTTATTAAATATTTATACATGGTAGTATTACGTAAACATTTTGGGAGATTAAAATTTTTTTAATTTCAGCATTACTAAAAATAGTTTGATATAAAGCTATATAAGGATGGTTAATTATTGATCTTTCAGATACTGAAAATACTTTGTATAAAATACTATGTACCTTTATTTCTATCACCTGACTAAAAAAAATGTTTTTTGTAATTAACTTTTGCATTGCAAATTTATTAATGTTACTAATTATACTTGATGATTAAGATTCAAATTAACAAAAAAAGGACAATTAACTTTATCACTTCAAATATTTATTATCCCATTGGAATGTTTGTGTATCATGTCGTAACGTTTGTTTTTCGATACAATTAGATTGAAATCATTATAATTATTATGATCGTGATAATACAGATATAAATATTCAACATTAAATCAGGATTACTTATAATTTATTTTATTGTCTAAACATAAGTACTTTCGCAGAACAATACAACCTGTAAAATAATAATACTGTTGTCAATAATACAAAATTTGATATTTAAAAACAATTGTTAGTTACGTATAGTACTCAAATATGATATACTTGTTAATCTTACTGCTTCCTTTTTCTTTTCTACCTTTCAGTGAGGCATTAACACATTATAACAAAGAAAGGTTAAACTGCGGAAATTACTGTTATCTAGTAATAATCGCAATATTAGTTGTATTTGCAATATTATTATATGCATGTTGTTATGTTCTCCTAAAACAATTTTTTATAAAACGTAAAGTAATCATCAATCAGTGATTATAGTATGAAAATTATGCATGGCTCAAATTAACTAAACTCATTTGATCATGCTTGAAATATATTTTGTAAGAATACATGAATTTTTATCAGTTAGCAACTATAACGAATTATAAATTATGAAAATAACAATTAAGCCCACATTTATTAATTAGTACAGTAGTCCGAAAAATGAATAATTTAAATTTAATATATTAAGGTCAAAAAAATATTCATCTTTCTACAATAAAATGTTTTTATTATAAATGTTATGAATCTATAAATCAATCGCATTAATTGCTAATTCGGTTAAGATCAGCAGTGTCCTACTATGTAAAATTGGGGAAATTGGTGCAAATAATAAAAATAATTATCATATGATCTAATAATCCAATTTTGATGAACTTTTTTTTGTTCTGTAAGTCTGGATTACCTTTATAAAATAAAAATAATTTCATTGAAATTGGACCATTAGGTTGTGAGATAATCACAAAAACATATTTTACTGACAACGATCAGATTCCATTAATAACAAAGCAGACAATTATCTCCTGATTCAGTGATCCAATTTCGATAAACTTTTTTTTGTTATTTGGATCTCAATAATCTCTACATAATAAAAAAATTTTGTCAAAATTGGGCCTCTAGATCGTGAGATAATTGCGAAAACATATTTTGCCAGACGATTTTTAGATTCATGATATAGCAAAATATATCTTTGTGATTATCTTCCGATCTAGCAGTCCAATATTGACAAACTTTTTTTTATTGTGAAGAAGAGGTTAAGACCTAAAAGACAAAAAAAAATTATTGAAATTGGATCACTGAATTAGGAATCAATTCTTTTTTTATGATTTACTAAAATTTAGTCATAATAATAATATGAAATACTTTTTCACAATTTTCTTATAATTTAGTATTTCAATTTCAATAAATTTTTTATTTTATTGAGGAAATCAAGATCTATAGAACAAAAAAAAGTTCATTGAAATTGGATCATTGGATCAAGAGATAATTATTTTCTTTTTTTACCCCGATTTTACATAGTAAGACACTGCCGATCTTAACCGAATTAGCAATTAATTGTGTCATATTGTTATTATTATAGGCTATATGCGAATTAAAAAATACAAAACTTAGTAAATCAAGAAATAATTTTTTTGATGATGTTATTGATTTGACCTACTCTTTATTGTCCTTAATCAGATTAAATATGACATCTTGCACCAAATAATAGAACTGTTTTAAAGACTTATCATACTTACACGCTCATCCAGAACTATAAAAAAAAAGCATTAAGTTCACGCTTTTGAAAATATACTTATAATAAATTATAACTAAATTAACTTTCGTATATGCATATTTATTTTGAAAATATTTTTTTTACGTTATAACTTTGAATTGTAAAGTGTTCTTATAATATATGTGGTTTTCGTCACATTCATTTATGTATTTTTTGTTTACAAAAATAAATTTTATTGTTTTGTGCGTTTTCAAAGACAACAGTCGTAAAAAATTACAATAGGTAATACAAAATTATGTTATCAATATGTTTACTTTTAAAATTAGTCGCTATTGATATTTGATAATTTAACAAATTATAATATGAACAATCATTTCAAATTAATAATTCATTGGACAATTGAATGTGTTGCATGATTGCAGCATGAAAACAGTATTATAAATATATTAAGTATTGTATCATTAAATTGTATTTATTAAGTGTTACTTACTTACTTTATATAAAAATGAAATATTAATAAATACAAAACTGTACAATGTTAATTCAATTGTATGCTATTATTAATTTTATAAAAAAACAAAACTTTAAGTGATGTTTGCAAAGTCGCAAAGTAATAGATGAAAATTTTATATTGTGTATTTTCATAATTTTGTATTAGTTTAAAATTAATAAATTTATTGCTCTGACTTGCCTACAAAGTTGATAGTATTATAATGAATTTATTATCTATAAGTCTTTTATATAAAAAAAATGTTTTAAAACATTTCTTATATTATTATTGATAAAAAATATAATGAACCATTTTTTTATGTGTTTTAATATAACTAGATTTATACTATAGTCTAATAATTTAGAAAATTAATAATTAATATTATAAAAATTGAATCCTTATTGACTGATATGTCAAATTGAAGTTTTAATGGCAGTGTTCAATAACTTTCATTTAAAAAATCTTTAAAAGCATGTTAAGCTTTCATGAAAGTGACGTTTTGTTCTATATAAAAATTTGCGTTCATTACAACAAGTGATACTAATTTAAATTAAGTTATAATAATAATAATAATTACCTTTTTTGATAGAAAAAGAATAGCTTTAATTATGTATTAATGCTATATTATAATATACAATTCAACAAACGCTGACAAAATTATTATAAATTTTGATTTTTTTACATTAAATATCTATTTGAAGCATCACATAATAACTAATATTCAAGCATTAACGATTATAAAATTAAAGCAAAGATAATGCAGTATTTTGATTTATCTGTTTAGATATCAATAATCATTATCTTCTAATACGGCCATCATTATTGTATCGATTAAATAATAAAATTGAGTCATAATAACGAATATTTAATTGATAACAATTATATAATTAAAAAAACAATAATCTAGTATTTTGATTTATCTTTGAATGGCAAATCTATAAATATTATCTTTTATTACGGTTATCATCATTGTATCGATTAAATATTCAGTCGATAACAATTATAAAATCGAAGAAAGATAGTGCAGTATTTCAATTAATCTCTGTGTGAAAATCAAAGAATATTATCTTCTATAAACCATTATCGTATCAATTTGCATAATAACGAATATTCAATCGATAACAATTACAAAATTGAAGCAAAAATAGTGCAGTGTTCGATTGATCTTTGTGTAGAAATCAATAAATATTATCTTCAGTTTCGGTCATCATTATTGTATTGATTTAATATTCAATCAATAACGATTATAAAATTGAGGCAACAATAATTTCAATCTATAACAATTATAAAATTGAAGCAAAGATAGTGCAGTATTTCGATTTATCTTTGTGTGGAAATTAATAAATATTATCTTCAGTTTCGGTCATTATTATTATATTAGACTTAATATTAAATCAATAACAATTATAAAATTGAGGCAACAATAATTTCAATCTATAACAATTATAAAATTGAAGCAAAGATAGTGCAGTATTTCGATTTATTTTTGTGTGAAAATCAATAAATATTATCTTCAGTTTCGGTCATAATTATTATATTAGACTTAATATTAAATCAATAACGATTATAAAATTGAGGCTAAAGCTCCGAACGGGTCGGTTTGGTCCGGATTATAGACGGTTTGGATTAGAGCCGAAATCCGTAAGAACCGAACCGAAAAACCGGCGGTTCGGTTCAGTTTAATCCGATTTTTATAAAAATGCGAAAAATCGAATAGCCGGCCATCTAGTGATCATATAAAGTCGAGCCATATATCATTGGATTCGTCGCGACGAGACGCGTCGAATGGTGGTAAGATCATGTCTCTAGCATCGATAGAACACACGTTAACCCACGCTAAATGATTTATCAATGATTGGAATTAGCAAGCTATCTATCGGTGCTGGAGACATGATCTTAGCACCATTCGACGTGTCTCGTCGAGACGAATCCAATGAATATAAATTCGTTCGTGTACGACCACTGGATGGCGAATAATATCAAGTTTCGCATTTTTTTAAAATTTTCGAGCAATAAAAATTAAAAATTCCGATACATGAATTTATTCGTCGTCCAATGGTCGTATAAATATGAATTAGGACTCATTGGATTCGTCTCGATGAGACGAGTCGAATGGTGGTGAGATCATGTCACTAGCATTAATAGATCGTAAGTTAATTCACGCTAAATAATTT